GATTCTGCTACACTTCTTCAGGACTGTAGCTACCAACAAGTAAGTTAACTTCTTGCCACTGTAAATCTTACTTACCTCTAAATTAAAATGAGCGTGCCCAAGTCTTTGGGGGGCTTGGGTGTGAGACTCTCCAGAGCAGCTGTGACTGATGGTAGGGTAACAACCATAGAGCGCTGCTGGAACTGCTGTCTGAGTGAATTAGGGCTGTGAATCTACATTCTAAGGCTGTAGCGCAGCTCCTGACAACTGCGATGACTAGTTCCCCGATTCAGAGCTGTTACTGAAGCTCCAGATCACAGCCTCACTGATCAAGAGACAGTGTTCTTTGTTTGTGGAGGGAAGTGCACGTTGTCTGTAGAAAGATGAAGTATTAAAACCATCAGACTTTATGGGGCTGAGGGACTCACGTCTGTACTTCAGGTCTGTTTCCCGGTTCATCTCATCGATAAGAGCTGGATCTGTTACTCCTTCCTCTGCAGTGTGGGCCCTACTGTGGGGAGGCTTCTGAAGTTTGTTCTTATTAATTAATGAGTTGGGAAGTCAGGTTGACCCTCCACACCGTGCTAATCTGGGCTAGTGGAGTCTGTGTTGTTCTGGCGAGTCCCACACTTGCTGCTGGTCCTGCTCGTGGAAGTTGCTTGTGAGTCTGGGTCCTGAAGCTGACTTGCCCGTTCTGGGTGGGAGCAAGGTAGGACAGGCTTCCTGCTGGCGGTGGCTAGCTGCCCATTCAGTGTTAGGTGAAGCAGAACCGCTCCGTAACTTCAGGGGTTGCTTTGCCAAGAAATTCATGTAATGCTGTCAGCTATTTAACAAGATAAATACTTCACTGGGGCTTTTGTCTTCAGCATGTTGAGTCTAAGCCAACAAATCCCCAGTGAAATGGCTTCTTGCATAGCTGGGAGCAGAAGCAGTCCTCTCTGGTAACTAGATTCCTCAGGATTGGGTTTCTAAATATCGCCAGCTTTCAGAGTAGTCCTTGCTACTGGGCAAACACAGGGCAAAAATGTCAGATTCCTTCTGACACCCTGAACTAGCAGCTTCCCTGTGGTGGGGAGTCCTGAGAAGCAATTGTCTCATGCAGGGGTTAACGTGGGGATCTGATAGTAACTGCCCTGTTGGGGGCACTTGTGCGGGGCTGGTTTGTTTGAAATGAGCTCTTGTGCTACTCTCGAGCATCCTAACAGCTCTGGGGAGCTGCCCTGCTCTTGGGCAGGCTGGGACTGCAGCAGCGCTGGCACGGGCTTTCTCATTTGGGGCACTTGTGTTCTTGAATTCAGTATTTGTGGACGTGTGCGAGCCCCTACGGCGAATCTTGGGGAACGAGTGAGGTGTTGAGAGGAGCGTAAGCTGCAGAAGTGATAGAGTTCTTGGTTGCTGGACATCATCAGGCATCGAAACTTGGCTTTGATCTCCAAGCAAACAAGAGACTGTTCCAAGAGTTTGCAATAAAAAAAATTGGTACTTTTGCCTGTGCGATGCAGAGCTGCTGCACGCGCTTCGGTAAGCAGGCGGCGGGTAGGGCGAGCAAACAAACCAGCACGTGCCTTTTTAGGGAGCTTTGGCATCACCAGCTGCTGAGTTTCACTAGTTACATGAAGCTGGTAGGAAAATTGATAATCCTGGTTACCCGAGTACCATATGATACCCTTCCTTCTCGCGGTCTTGGCTGCTTGAATCAGTATGGCAAGCTGCACCTTCAGCTGCTCTCCCTTGCCGGCGCAGCACGGCTGTGGTTATTTTGGTGGCCTGACCCATGGCTCGGGTGCCGGTGTGTGCACGGGGAGCAGGCAGGGACGTGTGCCCAGCCCGCTCTGCTGGAAGGGGGGATGAACAGCCGCCCTGAGCGTCAGAGATGGCTTCGTGCAGTGGGAAGCGCTCCCTGTTTCTCAGCCGGTGTTGGTGGATCGGTGTGGGCTGATCTCGCACAGATCCAGGCTGTGTGGTTCTGCTGCCTGTCGCTTCCGCATTCAGCGGAGCAGAGCTCTGTGTGACAGGAATGGAGAAATCCTCAAAAGATTTGGCATTAGCATAAAGTGCCAAACTGATCCTCCTGCAACGGAGAGTTCTCACTATCTACAGCTTTAGTAGTCACCCGCTTCAATTATTTGGGCTTCCTGTGAACACCAGCAGAAGGGCTAAGCTGGTCGTCCCAATCTCGTGTCTGTTCTTAGCCCGGGACCCTTAGTGGCCAGGTAAGGTCATCTGACCTGTGTAAATGCCACCCAAACATCCTAAAGATCTGGCAGCTTCTCAGGTGGATGTGAAGTCATGTAACCCTGCGGCCAAACTTCAAACCACCTTTAGAGGGTGATCAGGTTCTCTGTAATTAAAAGTGGTCGAAGGCTGCAGCTGCTCGACTGCTCGCTGTGATCCGTAGCTCTCCATGATGATTTGGACGTTCAGACGTGCCGTGTTCTGATTGAGTTCGTGTAGCACAACCAGATGGCAAAATGAATTGAGATTTGTGAAATATAGGTCACGCTAAGACTTGGGGATGTCAACAGCCTCATTTCCTTGTTTTGCTCTGGGAATCACCCCGGTCGTATTTCAGGAGGTCATAGCTCGGTGGAGACACGATTCAAGTGGTGTTTAATGTGCAGAATGTTCCCCTAAAACGGCGACAGAGCTTAGGCCTTGCTGATAGACAGCCCTGGTCAGTGAGCACGAGGTTAAACAAGCAGGAGCTGATCCCTTGCAAGCTCTGGTTAGAGGAGAGTCTCAAAGGTGGGAACTCCTTCAGGCTGGCAGAGGTGTAGAGCTGCTGATGTGCCCCTGGGACCTGGTGGTACCTGAGCTGCTCCTGGCCAGCGCTGCAGAACGCTGCTCCCTCACCGTCCAGCAAAACAAGCTGCTCACGTGCTCCCTACCGAGGCTTCTCCTCCTGCCAGAGGTGTTTGTCCTTTCTCAGAGGAGGGGGTGGGGGTCCTGGCTGATAGTAGCCTCTGCAAGGCCCAGCCCGGACCTGCAGTCCCTTCCCTGACCTGACCCAGGACTGGACAGGCCGCTCGAGGCCATGGCTGCTTCACCGCTCGGGCTGCTGGAACGTCTCGCTGCGCTGAGCAGTTCCTCCTCACGGTGTCTGTCCTGCCCGCTGGCTTCGGGGAGCGGCGCTGGCTCAACGGCCGGTTTCTGACTTGCCTCCTGGTCAGAACAGCTTGAGGCTGCGTGTCTCCGTGGGCCGGAGTGTGCTCAAGTGCTGTTGTGTCCTGGAAGCTGAAGAGAGTCTCCAGCCGATGGCACTGCTGGGGTGTCCCTCCGGGTGCGCCCCGGCTGGAACGGCTGCAGGTTTCCTGGCAAACTGCGGGATTGAGTTTAAACCTGAGACCCGGTTAAAGCAGCCTTGGGGCAGTCACAGCTGGACAGGCTTTGCTCTGGGAAGCTCTCCTGAGGCAGGTTTGGACCCATTTCAACCTGCTTGAAGCTTCTTATTTGTAGGAATCTGGGATTTGCTGGGTAAACGCTGGGTGTACTCAGGGCATACCCAGAGTTTCTTTGGGGCTGTGCTCAGAACAAGGAGAAAATGGCTTTCGGGGGATTTTTTTTTTGCACTTGTCTGTCAACAAGAAGCTTGGGTGGTGAGAGCTGAAGGGAAGGTGGCAATACAGAGCAGATGCAATCAGTTGTAGCATTTATCATTGACGGGAAGTGGGAGTTGTGATGAGCACAGGAAATGTGCCTGAATCTGTGTGACTGCTTTGAGAGACTCCTGGCCTGTGCTGCGTGCAGTTGAGCCGAGTGCCTGGGAGAGCAGCGAGGATGCACTCGAGGTGAACTATGGATGCAGAGCAGCTTGTCCTGCTGCTCCTCAGTGGCTTTGTGCTTCTGCTGAACTCTGGAGATCTGGTGCTGGGGAGGTGGGGTGGCAGCGCTGGTCACGGGTGCTGCTCCCTGGTTGTGCTGGTCAGCACGGCTGGATTTGAAATCTTCCGTCAGGAATGCGGCTGGTGGCCTGATGACCTGGAGTGATGTGGGGTGAGGGCACGGAGGCAGCTGGGACGGGGTGTGGGAAGCGGCGAGCGTCGGGTGTTGCCTCTGCACTCGGGTCGAGCTGTCGAGGCTCTCGTCCGGGGGTCAGGACCCGCCTGCAGCAGGGATGGGGGGTGCTCAGCTCTTAGGCCCCAAATAGGCAGCCCGAGCCCAGAGAGGGGCTGCTGCCCAGCGACTTCCCTCCCTGTGGCAATTCGAAGCCCTCCGCAGGGCTGCTCCAGGATGCCGTGTTTAACGGCTTGGGGCGAGCGCCTCTGAACAGACAGCCCGACCAGAGACGGGGGTCAGGACCCGCCTGCAGCAGGGATGGGGGGTGCTCAGCTCTTAGGCCCCAAATAGGCAGCCCGAGCCCAGAGAGGGGCTGCTGCCCAGCGACTTCCCTCCCTGTGGCAATTCGAAGCCCTCCGCAGGGCTGCTCCAGGATGCCGTGTTTAACGGCTTGGGGCGAGCGCCTCTGAACAGACAGCCCGACCAGAGAAACTCTCTCTCAGCGCCTCGCGATCTGGGGGTCTGACATCCAGAGCTGCCCCCCGTCGTGGCTTACGTGTGGCACTTGAGCATCTGTGTTGCGTTGGCGGCCTGGAGTTGCTGCCTTGTGAACTCAGGAGAGGAGGACGGAGATAAAGGCCAACCTGAGTGACCTCCATGAACTGAGTAATTGCTGTGTTACCAGACAAAGCTCTAATAACACCACCGGGTGTGCTGGCTGTTCTGCGCTTGCCTCGCCCTGGCGAGGTGTCTGTAACTCCACGCATAGTGGAAGTGCTGGAGGGCCTGCTGGTGGGGAGGAAAGCTTGTGTTACCAATATCCCTTCTCCAGGGAGGCTCAGAACCTGAAGGAGCTGCTGACTGACAGAAACGGCCCACTAGTGCCGTGGTACACACAGCTGATAACTTTCCACTGTGGGAAGGAGTCACCACCTGCCTGTGCTGATGGTGGCTGCGGGTCAAACCCACCCTCTAGAACTGGTACGGCTGGTCCGTGAGCGTGTCGCTAACTCTGACCTCCTCTTCCAGTTGCAACCTGCCTCCAGGTGGATCCCAGTGCAGAACCTGCAGCATCCTTAACTCTTGGCACTCCTGCGCTTAGGCCACAATGGCGGGTCGAGGTGGAGCTGCTCGACCGAACGGACCAGCTGCTGGAAACAAAATCTGCCAGTTTAAACTTGTTCTCTTGGGAGAGTCGGCAGTGGGGAAGTCCAGCCTTGTTCTGCGCTTCGTGAAGGGGCAGTTCCACGAGTACCAGGAGAGCACAATTGGAGGTGAGTGCTGACCCCGAGTGCCTGCGGCCAGCAGATGTGCAGCCCGGGGGGAGATCAGAGGCAATAACGGCTGTTTCGATCTGGTCTGTGGTTTTTTGCTATAAATAGTCAAGCAGCTAATGCTTTAACTCTTGGTTTGCAGTTTGTTTGTTAGTCTGAAGATCCGCGCAGCAGAGGATAATGCTATGGCAACCGGGCGCTCTGCCTCTAAGGCGTCTTCACTTCCAGTGCTTGAATTCCTGCTTCTAATTAGAACTGAGGCCTTCAGTTTGGTTTATAGCCCTTAATTATCTTTTCAGATCATGACCTGGGATTCTGAAGTTGTCTCTAGCCTGATACTGTCGGCTACTTCCACAGCTCTTTCAGGTCTAGCAGTTCTGTGGCTTGAGATCATTAGCACAGTGTCACCAACCAAAGGTCGGTCAGCACCCGGCTGGGAGGTGTGTGCTGAGGAGAGGCTTGGCTTGTCCCACAGTGACCCACGCAGGGAGGAGGTGTAGCTGTAAGGGCAGCTTGTGGGCGAGCGGGGCTTAAGGCTCTGCTGCAGAGGGCCGTGTGGGCTCTGCGGTTGTGCTCCGGTCCCTGTCCAAGGCTGGCCGCCTTTATCCCAGTTCTAACGCGCGGTGTCGTGCTCTCTGGAACAAGAAACCAGCCAGTTACTAAACTGGGAGCGCGGAGTGACTGGGCTGAGCTCGGAGCCGTGGCACTGCGGTGCTCTCCAGAGCCCCCTGGCCGCGCGGAGCTGCTCCGGCCGGCGGGAGGCCAACGGGCGCCTTCTCTTCCAGCTGCCTTCCTCACACAGACCGTCTGCCTGGATGACACGACGGTGAAGTTCGAGATCTGGGACACAGCGGGGCAGGAGCGGTACCACAGCCTGGCGCCCATGTACTACCGGGGGGCCCAGGCGGCCATTGTTGTCTACGACATCACCAACACGGTGAGTTCCGCACCGGGGGGCTGCCGGGGCGCGGGGAGGAGGTGTCTGGGTTCAGAGCCCCTGCAGATGCCTGCCTGGAAAAGTGCTGGTGGCTCGTCCTCGGTCCCCACCGAGGCTGCCTAAGCTGATAAAGGATCCTGCTGCAGAGCGCTGTAGGGGCAGAAAATTCTTACAGGAAGGACTTGCTCTAATCGTATCTTCACTGTGCGTTAGTAAGAGGCTGCCCTTCCTGACTGCTGCCTCCTGTTTGCTTCCAGGACACGTTTGTACGAGCCAAGAACTGGGTGAAAGAGTTGCAGAGGCAGGCTAGCCCCAATATTGTAATTGCACTAGCAGGAAACAAGGCAGACCTTGCCACCAAGAGAGCTGTGGACTTCCAGGTGAGTGGGGACCAGGTCAGTTGTTACCTGGGCAAGTCAGGAGAGCAGTTTTGTGCTGAAGTCAGGGAGACGGTGGCTGCGAGGGAGAGGGCAAGTCAAGAGTTGTGCTGCTGAGGGACCCAGGGTGCCGCCTGAAGCGGGGTGTAGCCTGCCTTTCCTGTGCACTCCTTTCACAGCCCTTGTAGCTCTTGTTGGTGACAGTTATGGTGAACGTGGAGGATAAGGCCCACGGAGCACAAGCTTCTGTCTTCAGTCTCTTCTGGTGCCCTACTCATCTGGGGCTGTCTTCAGCGCTGTATGAAACAGCACCTTTTAGGTGCAAGACACGTGGAGAATCGTTCCCAGCTTGTTCTCTGCTCTTCACTGCTCTTACCTTGTCGAAGGCAGACTTTCAGGGAGAAGCTCTTATCTCAGACCTCTGCTCAGGGTGGCTTGTGGCGCGTTTACAGTGTGTCTGGCTCTCCCTGCTAACCAAAGTACAAGGCGGTGTGCTCGGGACGTGCTGTGCCTGCGTCTGGCTCGCCAACAGTCCGTGCTGCCGGGACACCGCCGTGCCGTGTGGTGGGTGGCGTGTGTCTCCCAGCTGTCCCGGCCAGGCAGGGCCAGGGGACTGGGGTGGGAATGTCTGGCCTGGGGCGGGACAGTTTCTTCGGTGTCTGGTTTGCCAACAAGGGAAGCGTGTGAAGCCTGCTCGGGCCTGCTCTTGGCAGGATGCCTTTACCGCTCCGGTGTGGTTGGTTGTAGGATGCACAGACGTATGCAGACGACAACAGCTTGCTGTTCATGGAGACGTCAGCGAAGACAGCGATGAATGTGAACGAAATCTTCATGGCGATAGGTAACGGCTTGCGTGCGGAAGGGCGGCTGGAGCGGCTCTGGGCACCAGCAGCGCAGCCCACTGGGAGCCCTGGGGGCTCTGACTGG